GACCCCAGATGGGAGTCACCAAACTAGGATGTAGGACATTCTGTTTGTGAATATGCCAATTGACTATGGTGTCCCCTGACACTATGGTCCCAAGTCTTTTTAACCCAGTAAACCAACCCTACCAGTTGTTTGGATATGTCTAGGAAGGCCCTCCATCTAATCTTATCATAATTCTATAGATGTACTTCCTAGATTCCAGCAGAAATTATATATTCTAGATTTCTGTGTTCTTCAATTCACTGCCGCCGAGTCGATTCCGACTCATAGTGACTCCTCCTTGGGTTTCCAAGGCAGGACCTCTATGGAAGTAGATTGCCGTCTCTAAATATTTTCATATGAAATGGTGGGGTTAGGGAAGGCGGTTAGCCAGACTCCGTTTTACACTGGACAGTCTTACTAGTTAATCTTTGAATCCTTGCAATCACAACTTCACAGACAACTTTGTTTGAAGATACCCTATCTTATAGCTAGGAGCTCTGGTAGCGTAGTGCCTAAGGCACTTGACTCCTAACCAGAAGGCTGATGGTTCAAACTCAGCAGCCACTCCTTGGAAGGAAGATGGGGCAATCTACTTCCGTAGTTATACTGCCTCGGAAACCCAAGGAGGGGTCGCTATGAGTCAGGTCCAACTCGACAGCACATAACAACAACAACATCTTATAGCTGTTACCTAAACTAGAAAGATTCCTTCTCTAAAATCTTAAAACGAAGAAAGTGAAAACACCAGTTCTTAAAACTTGCTCTAAGAGAGGAAGTGGGAGGGGAGCTATTACATTGTGGTAAATTGGAATCACTGTCATGAGATAAAGTATATGTGAACTGCTGTATGGAAAGTGAATTTGCTCTGTAAATTTTCACCCAAATCAAAATTAAAAAAAAAAAAACTTGCTCTACGGATCTTTTTAAAGTAGTGACTAACTTCCTTGTCCATCTTTCCCTGTTGTTGCTGTTGGAGTTGACCCCCGGTTCATGGTGACCCCATGCTTAATGAGTTGGACCATTGTGATCTATAGGATTTTCATTGACTGATTTTTTGCTGGTGATTGCCAGGCCTTTTTTCCTGTCTTCATCTGAAAGTACCACTGAAACCTGTTCAGCATGGATTATAGAATAAACCCTGAGTTACCCAGATTGTTTACAGAATAGACTGTTCTTCTTTTAATTTGCCAGATAATTAGGCATTGCCATTCATAGGTTATCAGATACAGCAGAAATTAATTAATTATTAAGATACAGCAGAAATATACTTCTATCAAAAACAGAATGAAACATAATTTATTTTTTCTTTGGCTGTATAGAGGACGTATCAGGACAGTGATTCAACCTGTTTATTTTCTTCCTTGATATGTCTGAGACATATCACCTGCTTTTATTTATCAGGTGGTTTACATTGGAACTGCAGTTGTTAAAAGCATTGGGCTGCTAACCAAAAGGTCATTGGTTCTAGTCCACGAGCCACTCTGTAGGAGAAAGATGAGGCAGTCTGCTTCCTTAAAGATGCACAGCCTTGGAAACTCTATGGGGGCAGTTCCACTCTGTCCTGTAGGGTCGCTGGGAGATGGAATTGACTCCATGCAGTGGGTTTGGTTTTTTTGGTTACAATGGAACTTCTCTGGGATAGCCTTTCCTTTCCTCTTAGGAATGCTGCTTTAAGACTTGGAGAGCCTCAGGGTATCAGCATGATTATCATTAATATATAACAATATTTGGATTGTCTGGTCCTTCTGTGGCTTCTAATTATGGAATGGAAATCTGTAGTTAAACATGGTGAGGCAGTGCCAAGGGCTCATAGAAATTATATGAATAGAGCAGAATTATTAGCCTTCTTTCTGTTTTGCATTAGAGAGATGAGCTCCAGGTATTTGAGTCAGACAATAAGTCAAATTTGATAGAGAAGAGTATAATCTAGGTATTTTTTATTCTTAAGCTGTGTCTCTAATGCAACTTTGTAAGTTGTCATAAAGTAACTTCAGGATATTAATGACTCCTCCTAGTTGAAAAGCCTAGAAAAATCTTCCCTGCTCATTTTGAATTGTTTTACCTTTTAATTTGTGTTGATGCTTGACCTATATATTGATCATTGTTTGGATGCATTTGGAATTTTACTATAACATCGACCATCCTGTAGTAGAACTAGCTTGAAAATACATTTATCTTGGAGGCCATCCAAGAGGTTGCCACTAAAGACACAAAAGAGCCTCATTATAAAGTGATTTTGCTATAAAATGATCCCTAGAGACATTAGGCTGTTTGTATAGTTAAAAAAGTACAGAGTGTCAAAAAATGTCACTAAGGAGTCCTTACCTCACACCATTAGTTTAAATAAATTCCAGATGAATTAATGAGTTAAGTGTAATGATTTAATTCCATAAAAAGACAAGGAAAAAAAGTATAAGCAAGTATTAATGTGATTTTAGGTAAGACATTTGTGATTTCTGTTTTTATAGATAGGTCTTTATGTGAAACAGTTCTTTTTAAAATCCCATAAAAGAAATGAAAGACCATCTTTCATATTGCTGGGGTAGAAAGAGTCATTGGGTTCAACATCATGGGATTCTTCCCAATGTACCCAAAAGCAAAGGAGAAAAGAGAGAGATTTACAGAGAGATTTCTGAGATGGCCTAGTTAAAAAACCAGTATCACATTGGGAAAAAAGACTAATTTGAGTTCTTTTCTCTTTAAATGTTGAAAAACATTTAAAAAGGGATTCATTTTCATTTTTTAAAGCAAAAGTACTATTATACTGTAGATAGTTTTGTATCTTGCCTTTTTATTAATATACTGTAGGTTTCTCCCAACATCAAAATATACTTTTAACATATATATATATAT